TCACCAGTTTGGCCAGGCTGGTCTCAAACTCCTGACCTCGGGTGATCCTCTAGCCTCAGCCTCCCAAAGTGCTGAGATTATAGGTGTTAGTCACTAGGCCCAGCCCTTTCTACTCAATTTGGCAGTGAACCTAAACTGCCTTAAAAAAGGAAGTCTGTGTTTGTCTTTTTTACAGACAGGGTCTCGCTCTGTTGCCCAGGAGTGCAGTGTGTGATCAGAGCTCGCTGTAACCTCTGACACCTGTGCTCAAGTGATGTGCCTGCCTCAGCCTCCCCAAGCGTTGGGATTACAGGCACGACCCACCTTGCCCAGCCCTCTTTCTTTCTTTTCTTTTTCTTTCTCTCTCTCGCTCTTCCCTCCCTCCCTTCCTCTTTTCCTCCCTCCCTCTCTTTCTCTGTTTTTTGATTTTAGAGACAGGATCTTGCTATGCGGCCTAGGCTTGTCTAGAACTCCTGGCTTCTAGCCATGCTCCTGTCTTGGCCTCCCAAGTAGCTGGGATTACAGACGTGAGCCAACGTGCTTGGCCATGGATGAATTTTCATAAAGTGAACCCACCCACGTACCCAGACTCAGGAACAGAAGTTTACCAGATCCTAGAATCCCACCTTGTGCCCCTCCTGGTCATGGCCTTCCCCCTGCCCATCCCAGAGGCCCCACTTGTTTGACTATTTATTTATTTATTGAGATGGAGTCTGGCTCTGTCGTCCAGGCTGCACTGCCGTGGCGCGATCTTGGCTCACTGCAGCCTCCACCTTTCAGGTTCAAGCGATTGTGCTTCGGCCTCCTGAGTAGCTGGGATTACGGGTGTTTAACATCACGCCGAGCTGAGTTTTGTATTTTTAGTAGAGACAGGGTTTCACCATGGCCAGGCTGGTTGTGAACTCCTGACCTCAAGTAACCCGCCCGCCCTAGCCTCCCAAAGTGCTGGGATTACAGACATGAGCCACTGTACCCGGCCTTGACTTTTTAATAAACAGCTTAACTGAGTGAGTCATAATTCAAACACCATAGGGCTCCCCCATTGAAAGCACACAATGCAATGATTTTTAGTATATTTACAGACTTGTGCAACTATGACCACCGTCAATTTCAGCACATTTTCGTCATCTCAAAAAGAAACCAATATTAACTGTCTATCCCTCACCCCCACCCCTGGCAACCCCTAACCTACTTCCTGTGTCTGGGGACTTGCTTATTCAGGACATTTTATACAGATGGCATCACACAACATGTGGCTTTTGCGTCTGGCTTCCTTCTCTTAGCATGTTTTTTTTTTTTTTTTTTTTTTTTTTTTTTTTTTTTTGAGACGGAGTTTCGCTCTTGTTGCCCAGGCTGGAGTGCAATGGCGCGATCTTGGCTCACCGCAACCTCCGCCTCCTGTATTCAGGCAATTCTCCTGCCTCAGCCTCCTGAGTAGCTGGGATTACAGGCACACGCCACCATGCCCAGCTAATTTTTGGTATTTTTAGTAGAGACAGGGTTTCACCATGTTGACCAGGATGGTCTCGATCTCTTGACCTCGTGATCCACCTGCCTCAGCCTCCCAAAGTGCTGGGATTACAGGCTTGAGCCACCGTGCCCGGCCAGCATGTTTTCAAGGTTCCTCTGTGTTGTGGCAGGCATCAAGATTTCATTCCTGTTGACAACTGAACAGTTGTCAACTGTATAGATACACAACATTTTGTTTATCTTCTCATCACTTGATGGACATCTGAGCTGTTTCTACCTTTTGGTTATTAGGAGTAATACTGCAATAAACCTTACTTTGTCACCCAAGCTGGAGTGCAGTGGCACAATCACGGATCACTGCAGCCTCGATCTCCTGGGCTCAAGGGATCCTCCCACCTCAGCCTCCCCAGGAGCTGGGACTACAGGTGGGTGCTACTACTCCTGGCTAATTAAAAAAAAAATTTTTTTTTTTTTTTGTAGAGAAGAGGTCCTACTCTATTGTCCACTGCTGGTCTTGAACTCCTGAACTTAAGAGATCCTCCTACCTCCTGCCAGGTGTGAGCCACCATGCCCAGCCCAACAATTAAATTTTTTTAAAATTAATTTTTAATTTTTTTTTTTTTTTTTTTTTGAGACAGGGACTCACTATCATCCAGGTGGGAGTGCAGTGGCATGATCTTGGCTCACCGCAACTTCCACCTCCTGAGTTCAAGCAATTCTCCTAGCCTCAGCCTCCCAACTAGCTGGGACTACAGGCATCATGCTCTGCTAATTTTTGTATTTTTAGTAGAGATGGGGTTTCACTATGTTGGCCAAGCTGGTCTTGTAATCCTGACCTCATTATCTGCCTGACTCCGGCTTCCAAAGTGCTGGGATTACAGGCATGAGCCGCCACGCCCTGCCTAGCCTTGACTTTTTAATAAATGGCTTAACTGAGTCATAATTCACACAACATACAATTCGCCCATTGAAATCACACAATTCAATGCTTTTTCGTATATTCACAGACTTGTTAAACTATCACCACCATCAATTGTAGCACATTTCATCATTTCAAGAAAAACCCCTGTACCCTTTAAGTATCAACCGTCGGCCGGGCGCGGTGGCTCAAGCCTGTAATCCCAGCACTTTGGGAGGCCGAGGCGGGTGGATCACGAGGTCGAGAGATCGAGACCATCCTGGTCAACATGGTGAAACCCCGTCTCTACTAAAAATACAAAAAATTAGCTGGGCATGGTGGCACATGCCTGTAATCCCAGCTACTCAGGAGGCTGAGGCAGGAGAATTGCTTGAACCCAGGAGGCGGAGGTTGCGGTGAGCCGAGATCGCGCCATTGCACTCCAGCCTGGGTAACAAGAGCGAAACTCCGTCTCAAAAAAAAAAAAAAAAAAAGTATCAACCGTCTACCCCCACCCTCTAGAGGCACCCCCAGCCTCTAGCAACCCCTAACCTACTTCCTATCTCTAGGGATTTGCCTATTCAAGACATTTTTTTTTTCTTTGAGACAGAGTTTCCCTCTTGTTGCCTAAGCTGGAGTGCATTGGAGCAATCTTGGCTCACCGCAACCTCTGCCTCTTGGGTTCAAGCGATTCTCCTGCCTCTACCTTCCAGGTAGCTGGGATTGTAGGTACACACCACCATGCCCGGCTAATTTTCTGTATTTTTAGTAGAACGGGAATTTCACCATGTAAGCCAAACTGGTCTCGAATTCCTGGCCTTAGGTGATCCACCCGCCTCGGCCTCCCAAAGTACTGGGATTACAGGTGTGAGCCACCGTGCCAGGCCCTATTCGTGACATTTTATACAGATGGAATCCACAACGTGAGGCCTTTTGTTTCTGATTTCTTAGCATGTTTTTAAGGTTCCTCTGTGTTGTGGTATGCATCAAGATTTCACTCCTGTTGACCACCGAGTATTTGTCTACTGTGTAGATAGATACACAACATTTTGTTTACTCTTTCATCACTTGATGGACTTTTGAGTTGTTTCTACCTTTTGGCTATTATGAGCAATACTGCTATAAAGTTTACTCTGTTGCCCAGGCTGGAGTGCAGTGGCACAATCACAGATCACTGCAGCCTCGATCTCAAGGGCTCAAGGGATCCTCCCACCTCAGCCTCCCCAGGAGCTGGGACTACAAGTGGGTGCTACTACTCCTGGCTAATTTAAAAAATGTATTTTTGTAGAGAAGGGGTCCTACTCTGTTGTCCAGGCTGGTGTTGAACTCCTAGGCTTAAGAGATCCTCCTGCCTGGGCTTCCCAAAGTGTTGGGATTCCAGGTGTGAGCCGCCACGCCCAGCCCAAGTGAATCACGTATTAATTATTATTTATTTTTTTGATACGGAAACTGGCTGTCTCCTCTCTGTGCCTCAGTTTCCTCTCCTGTAAAACAGAAGTAACATCATTTACCGCCAAAAACAGAGGACTCAAGGAAGGCTGGAAATGAAACAAGAAAAGAGAAAAAACCCAACATCCCAACGGGAAAAAACTCGTTTTCCTGGTGTGTGTGTGTGTGTGTGTGTGCGCGTGCGCGTGCGCGCATGTTTTCTTTCCTTTTTCTTCCTGTTTTCTGCTTGTTTTCTTCTTTCTTTTCATTCCTTCATCTCCTTTATGCTAAAAGTGACGCACCCCGGGCTTATCCGGCTTCCGAAGCCAGAGGCAGGTGGAGGTTGCACCTGGCTCGCGTAGTGACGGGAAGGAAGTGCACGGGCGGAGGGACCCAATTCCACCAGCTTTCAGGGGCGTTTTCCGCCGGTGGGTGCAGCCCAAACCCGCCCCGCCCGAGACCTGCGCCCTGCGCTCCCGCCAGTCGCCGGCGCGGACACAAAGGTCCCGTCCGCTCCACTCCCGCCCGCCCCGCCCCTGCTTTCCTGGGTTCCCTCCTGCAGCTCCATTGGCCGGGAGCTCCTGGGGGCGGGGCCTCGGCGCCCCGCCCGGGCCCGCGGGCCCCGCCCCCTTCGCTGCCCCGCGCTCCCAGTCCGAGCGAAGCGGCCGGCGGAGCAGAGCGGTTCTCGAGGTAGGGAGCTCTTCTCGGGGACTCCGGGAGGGGCGTGGTGGGCGCCCCCGGCTCGAGGAGCCGCAGGGCTGGAGTCTCGGCCTCCTCTGTCGTCCCGCAGCCTGCAGGGTCTTCTAGCACGGCAGCGGCGGGCGGCTCCGGGCTGGGTTTCTCTGGGCTTGTTTGGGGAACGCGGCTTGCTCCTCCTCAGGGCGAGGGGTGGGTGTGGCAGCCCCTGGAGGGATTCGCGGCGGACGGCGGGTAGCGCTTCCCGCCGGGCCACCTGTTCTCTGCGCGCTGGGGGGGCTCTCCCCGCCCTCCCCGCCGCTTTTGCCCGCGGGCAGGAGCCGTGGACGGGGGACTCGCGGGGCGGTGGGCGAGGCGTAGGGGCGGGGCGCGGGGGGCGCGGCACGCGGGAAGCGGAGCCAATCCCGCCGGGCCTGGCCGCGCCGCAGCTGTGGCTCGAGGTTGGGACGGCGGCCAGGCCCGGCGGGGGAGGTGGGGAGCCGTCCTGGCGCCGCGCGATTAGCCGCTTCCGCGGGAGGAGGAGCCGCCGGGCGCGCTCGCTCCGGGTGTTTGCGCGCGGGTGGGGGGGGCCTCGGCGCTGGAGAGAAACTTCACCCGCGCCCACATGCCCCCTTTCCGCCCGCGGCCCAGGTTTGCAGGCCGGAAATGTCACGTTCTTTTTTTGATTTTTGAAAAGGAAGCCTCCGGCCCTACGGTTTTTTGGGGTTGGAGTGGATGTGTGTGCTGGGGAGGCGGAGACGTCCCGCTCCGGGCAGGTAGGGAAATCGCACTGCAAAACAGAAGGCGTCTTGGAGCCTCAGTGTCCCAGTCGGCATCCTGGGGCTCTGACTTTTCCTGACGTAAGGGGGTGTGTGAGAATAAAAGGAGGCGGCTAGACAAGTAAGGTTGTTTTTTTTTTTTTTTTGAGACGGAGCCTCGCTCTGTCGCCAGGCTGGAGTGCAGTATCTCAGCTCCCTGCAGCCTCCGCCTCCCGGGTTCAAGCGATTCTCTTGCCTCAGCCTCCCGAGTAGCTGGGACTACAGGGGCGCGCAGCCACGCCTGGCTAATTTTTGTGTTTTTTGTAGAGACGGGGTTTCACCCTGTTGGCCAGGATGGTCTCGATTTCTTGACCTCGTGATCCGCCCGCCTCGGCCTGCCAAAATGTTGTGTTGGAATTACAGGCGTGAGCCCTCGCGCCCGGCGCCACTATGTTTTTTTAACTTGCTGTTTTGATATTTCTCAGTCTCTCTGTGTGCCCAGTCTTGTCTGCTTCCCATGCTGAAGCCAGAGGGAACTTGTAAAACCAATCCGCTCAGATCAACCCCCCACCTCCCCCGCCGCCGCTGAAAATCGTCCACTGAAATGCCATTGTCGTCTAAGTCCCGACGTCTCAGCAGGGTTTCCTGTTATCTTCGGCCATTACCTTGTCCAGCCGCTCTCTGCCTCTGTCCTCCCTCTCTCCGGGCCTTTGGCGCTCCTCTGGACTTGGGGTCCTACCGCCCTCCGCACTCCCTGGGTGGCCTCGTTGATGACCGTGGGTTCTCCTTACTGGTCCTTCCAGGGCAAGAAAGAGTCGCAGATCCCGGCTCAGAGTAGATGCTTTGGAATTCGAATGAGCTGAGCTAGGCCGTGCGTGGGGCCCTGGGGTGGGGTTGAGGGTGGTTGACGGCGGGTCCCCTAGGTGGGGGAGCGGTCTTTGTTCCTCGGAGTGGCAAAGCCAGCGCATTTGGTTTCCGTTCCATCAGCAGGGGCAGGATTGGGAGGGAAGGGGATTTCAGATGGTCCAGGTCTGACAGTCCCACCGTCAGCCGCACAACTATTGTTGACTGAGCCCGCCGTGCGCCTGGCATTGTCGTGGCACCATCTGCACAACTTCTGCGACGCAGCACCGTTCCTGTCCCCTTTGACAGATGAGGAAACTCAGACGTGGGCCGGTCCAGTTGCTTGGCAGGGGTCGCAGAGGGAGTGGGGAGCAGTTAGGGCTGAATCTCAGGTGTGAGCCCAAGCCCCCCGAGAATGGAGGGAAGGATGGAAAGATTGAATGGGGGAAGAGTGTAGAGTGGGGTTCTTGGTGAGGAGGGCTTGGGCTTCCCTCGGGAGGGGCAGTCCAGGCTGAGAGCTGGGGCAGGAGCAGGGTCCCAGGTGGCTGGTGGCGGTGGGGTGACTGTCTCCCTGCTGGGCGGGGTCGTCCGACCGGTGGAGGCCTTCCAGGGGTGTTAATGAGAGCAGAGGCAGCTGCAGTCTGGGACGTTCCTTTGGGTTCCCGGTATACTCGGCGGGTTTCCGGCCTCTTCCCAGCACTCGGAAGCTCCTGAGGACGGAAGAGCTATTCCCAGCTGGCCTGGGCCTGGGAGGGGGCGCCGGGCTGCACCCTCCCCGCCGGCCTGTTTGCACTTCCCTGTGGCTGGTGCTGCTGGCCTTGGGTCCTTGGCCTGCGGAGGGCTGGCACGGGCCTCGCGGCCCCCTCCCCTTTGCCTCCCGTCCCTCCCCCTGAACTCTCCAACCTCCACCCCTTCCTGTCCCTCCCCCACCTCTCTCTCTGCTCCTCGCTTGCCAGACCCCGGCTCTCCCAGGAACAATAGAGGGGAATGTGGCTAGGCCAGCTCGACGCTGCTGCGTCAATCTCTGGCTCGTTCTTGGTCTCTGTCGCTACTAGGGACCCTTGTATTTGGGCTGAGCTGACACGCTCCGCCTCTCGACCCACGTGCCCGCAGTTCTGCCAGGCAAGGGCTCAGCTGCGCTGGGGACAGGGATGGGTAAACTCAGTGTCTGTGCCTGTTTACAGAGGAGGAACCCAGGTGCACTAAGGTAACTTTGTTACTCTTGTAGTGCTTCATCCCGGCTCCTGTCCAATTTCCCTTCCACTTCTTGCACTCATAAGCCTTGGGCTGTGAGATGGGCTAGTACAGCCGGCCTACGGCTGTGTTCCCTGGGCTGGGGACAGCTGCCTTGCTGGGAGCTCCTTAGAAGTGTAGAATCTTGAGCCAGTGATCCCAGTACTTTTAGAGGCTGAAGTGGGAGGATTGCTTGAGCCTGAGAGGTTGAGACCAGCCTGGACAACATAGTGAGACCTTGTCTCTACAAAACATATAAAAAAAATTGGGCCGGGCACGCTGGCTCAAGCCTGTAATCCCAGCACTTTGGGAGGCCGAGGCGGGTGGATCACGAGGTCAAGAGATCGAGACCATCCTGGTCAACATGGTGAAACCCCGTCTCTACTAAAAATACAAAAAATTAGCTGGGCATGGTGGCGCATGCCTGTAATCCCAGCTACCCAGAAGGCTGAGGCAGAATTGCCTGAACCCAGGAGGCGGAGGTTGCGGTGAGCCGAGATTGCGCCATTGTACTCCAGCCTGGGTAACAAGAGCGACACTCCGTCTCAAAAAAAAAAAAAAAAAAAAAAATTAACTGGGTATGGCAGTACATGCCTGTAGTCCCAGCTACTTAACTTGGGAGGCCGTTGAGAGGATCCCTTGAGCCAGGAGATTGAGGTATAGTGAGCCATGATTGCACCACCACTGAACTCTAGCCTGGGTGACAAAGCAAGACCCTGTCCCCGCCACCGAAAAAAGAAAAAAGGGCCGGGTGTGGTGGCTCACGCCTATAATCCCAGCACTTTGGGAGGCCAAGGTGGGTGGATCACGTGGTCAGGATATTGAGACCATCCTAGCTCACACCGGGAAACCCCATCTCTACTAAAAATACAAAAAATTAGCTGGGCGTATTGGCATATGCCTGTAGTCCCAGCTACTGGGGAGGCTGAGGCAGGGGAATCACTTGGACCTTTGAGGCAGAGGTTGCAGTGAGCTGAGATGACACCACTGCACTCCAGCCTGGTTGACAGAGTGAGACTCCATGTCAAAAAAAAAAAAAGGAGGAATCTTAGGCCCCACCCCACACCTACTGAATTGCAGTATGCCTTTGAACAGGATCCCCAGAGATTCCTGACCGCACTAAAGAAGTAGAAGCACTGGCTTAGACTTCTGTGCCTTAGTTTCCTCATCTGGAAAATGGGGATGCTAAAAGTGCCTCCCCTGTTGGGTTGATGTTTAGATGCATGTAGCTGATGTTTGTAAACCCTCAACAGGGTGTGATGCTGAATCTGCGCACAGTGGCTGTAGGGTGTATGAAAGCACAGCTTGCCTCCGTCCCCATATCCACCCCCATATCCAGTATCCACCCCCGACGCCTGCCAGCAGTGGTCTGGTCCTGGGCTGGAAGCTGTCTCAACATGATGCCTGGCCCTGACCCTCCCCAGTCAGCATCCCATGGAAGGCTCAAGACACCCTCCTTTTGCAGAGCAGGCTTGGAGAGGTTCTTGCTTTGCCAAGAATGAGGTGTCTGACTTGAACTGAACTCTTACCCCCTGCCTTCTATCGTCCTGTCTTCAATAAAGGGCTGAAGCTGTCAAGAATGGAGTCTCTGGCTGGGTGTGATGGTTCATGCCTGTAATCTCAGCACTTTGGGAGGCTGAAACTGGTGGATTATCTGAGGTCAGGAGTTCCAGACCAGCTCGGCCAACATGGTGAAACCCCGCCTCTACTAAAAATACAAAAATTAGTTGGGTGTGCCTGTAGTCCCAGCTACTGGGAGGCTAAGGCAGGAGAATCGCTTGAACCTGGCGGGGGGTGGGGGTGCATTGAGCCAAGATCGTGCCATTGCACTCCATCCTGGGCAACAGAGTGAGACTGTCTCACCGAAAAATGAATGGAGTCTCCTTCAGTGAGCTCCTTCTCACTAGAGTGTAAGTGGCTGATAGTGCTGTTCCTTGGGGCTCCTTCTCACCAGAGTACAAATGGCTGATGGCCATTGTACTTACTGCTAAAGCCCTCCTTGCAGTAAGCTCCTGGCTGCTTAATCCCTGTTGATGTGGGTGGTGGGCTTTCAGGCCAGGAGGGCAGGACACTGGGAAGTGGGCAACAGGGGTGCTGCATGATTGAGTCCTAAGTCTCCAGATACGGGGGTAGGCTGAGCATGAGCTGGGAAAGCCAGAGTCTTGGTGCCCAGCTGAGCTCCAGAACCTTCCAGGAGGAGCTGCAGAGCCTATGGAAAATTCCCAGGCTATTTTGGGCCGAGGCCCCCTTCTCCCTGCTGACACACCCGTCCCTGGGGCAGTCAGGGTGGGAGTGGCTTCCTCCTTTGGCTGGGCACTCATCGGAGCCGGGGGGCTGACTGGGGAAGGGGGTGCATGGCCAGCTGGGCACCTCACCCTTCCCCTGCTGGCTTTTTCTCTGTAGCATTTCCGCTGTCTGACATACTGTGTATTTCACCAGTTTTCATTCGCTGGGCGACCCTGGGCAAGTTACTTGACTCTGTGTCTCTGTCTTGTCCTCCCATTAGTGAAATGGGGATGGAATGAGCTGAGCTGTGTGAAGTGTTTTAAGTAGTAAGCAGGCTGGCCCCAGGACACTGGGGTGGTGGTAGTAATGGTCTGTTCCACTCCCCCATCTGTTGGTTGACTAGGATGTGGCAGTGTTCAAGGGTCCTCTATGGCAGCACAGTGCCCAGTGTGTGAGGTGAGGGAGGTTGCCCTGGTCCATGGGCCTGTGCGTACAGACAGCAACAAGTTTGTGATGCAGACACGTGTGTGCGCGCTCAGACGCAGGGACAGCCAGGTGTGGGAACATACACATGTAGCTCACATATACACACATGTGCATACACACAGCTATGTACATGTACACACAGCTTGGCAGTCATGATGTGCCTTGGACGTGACATTTGGTCCAAGTTAGTTGCAGGCCCGAGTCTCATCCCTGGTCTGGCCCTGAGCCTC